CCCAAGACGTGGCGGCCCATATAGGGGAGTTCATGGACCGGTTCGAGGTAGTTCGTTTTGCGGGGAGGGGGGGGCCGGGGGGGGGGGAGGGTACTCATAGTCGTGCATGCCGTAGTCGTTAGACCATTGACCTCGCATCCCTACAAAGCCGGGACGGAGCACGCCGGGTTCTCACCGGACCAGGCTCTCACATCACCAAGCGCGAAGCGCCGTGAGGTATTCGGCGAGTCGCATGAAGGGTGAGCTGCATCCTGCTAAGGGTGTTCGGCATCTTATGCTTACTTCCTTGCGTACGGATGACAGCTGCGTATGACTGAATTTATTTTCTGGTGCTTTCACTTCTAGAGACAGTTGTAAGCACTGTGTAACTGCCTCGAGGATGCTTGACCATTTAACACAACGTGGTGGGATTATCCCCCTTGCGCGGAGTGAGGGTTCTCCACCCCGCACAACATGATCTACTCGACCACTATTCATGGTTACCCCAAAAACAAAAAGCAGAGGTAAAAAAAAACGGTAACCTGGTTGCCGAGTTCATGAAGTGAACTGGCTTGTTTTACAACGTCGTTGCCAAGCGACGAAAACCCAACCCCGGTGGCAAACACCGAGGGGGGGCTTGTTTGACAACGTCGTTGCCAAGCGACGAAAACCCAACCCCGATGGCAAACACCGGGGGCGGGGGGGGTTACCGCCAAATAAAAAAGCGGTAACCTGGTCGCCGAGCTCACGAAGTGATCGGCTTGTTTTACAACATCGCTGCCAAGCGACGAAAACCCAACCCCGATGGCAAACCCCGGGGGGGGGGGGGCTACTCATGTTTTGCGTGCCTCAGGTGCTGGACCGTTGACCACCACGCGTCCTCGAGCGTTGTACCTATAGGACGAATCGCCGATGGTGGCCAATCGTTTCGCCTACTGACTCTATTTCGCACAGGACCAGAGACTCGATCTGAGATGTGGCTGCCGTTTGCTGCTCCGAAAGTTTCCTGTCGGCTTAATCGTCCCCGTTTTGGTACACACCGCTTCGTTGCGCACAGGGCAAGCTGCAGCGCCTGGGGGTGAAGCAGCTGGAGGTGAAGATCGTGTCCTGCGTTGGCGCCGGGGGGGTCCTCGCGCCCATCCGGGTGGTTGCCTCCAACCCCACCGGCTACGCCGTGAGGGTGGAGACTTACGTCGAGGTGAGAACAGTGAACGAGGAGGAGGAGGAGGAGGATAAGGGAGAACTTCCCTCTGGCAAAAAAGTTCTTTTTTTGTTGTTTCTGGTGTCATATCCTTACCACTCTCGGAGGAGGAGGAGGAGGAGGAGGAGGAGGAGGAGGTGGTGGTGGTGGTGGAAGAGGAGGGAAAACGTCCCTCCTCCGTCGATGTTATTTTTTGTGTTTGTTGTGTCATGTCCTGGAGGAGGAGGAGGAGGAGGAGGAGGTGGTGGAGGAGGAGGGAAAACGTCCCTCCTCCGTCGGTGTTATTTTTTGTGTTTGTTGTGTCATGTCCTTACCGCTTCCGTCTTCACACCTCCACACGTGTCGTCTGACTCGTCTTCTCGTCCCTGGCCCTTCCACTCTCCGTAACGCGCCCCCGCCCCGGATAGGTAGCGTGCCAACAAACGGTCGTTCATGTCCTTTCCCTCACACGCGTTTTTTTATTAAACATCGCTTGTGAACGTTCACAGCATGTAATGATCACCTTGGCGTGTCTGTCCTATTTAGTTGAATGCTTGTGGGCCGTTTGGGCAGAAGTGACAATTTTTGTGACGATAGTCATTTTCTGACGGGCCTCTTTTCTTCCACGCGCACACGTCGTATGCAGTTTCTCTCTTTCTCTCTCTCTCTCACACACACACGCACACGACGAAATCTATCTACATCCACGCCACACGCTGATCACACCATTAATACCCATTACCTGTTGGCCCCCTTTTTCTTCCACGCACACACATTTTTTGTGTTCTCTATTCTCTCTCTCTCTCTCTCTCTCTCTCTCTCTCTCTCTCCCTCCCCCTCTCTTACACACATACCGACGATGTCTATCAACCTATACCGCTGCTGGTCTCCCCGGTAGTCTAGTTGGTATCCTCGAAAACCTTCTATGCTTGGCGGGGTCGGGGGTTCGAATCCCGACGTAAGCGAGCTGTTGTTGCAAAGTGAGTTTTTCTCTCGCTTCCGTTCCTGGCCTGGGTGGAAAGCGCTACTTAGTTCGTGTGTACGCAGAGGGAAGAGAGTGCTGCACTCTTCTCGCATTAAGAATCGAAGGCAAAGCATTCTACCGCAGGAGGGGTGGGTAGGGGGGGCTCAGGGAGGGTAACCCCTCTGTGTGACTACGGGTTGGAACAAACGGCACAAACAAATGCTTTGAGCACTGACTTGGCAGTGAAAACTTCAAAAACAAAATATATATATATATATATACATATATACTCACGTCATCACCAGGTGTCGGAGGGCGGCAAGAGGTTGTTCCGCAGCCTGGAAGGCCAGGCCGGCGGAGGCGCCCGGTCCCGCAGCAGCAGCGGCATGAAGCAGGGCTGGGACGGGAGGGAGGTGGGCATGCCGTACCCGGTGTACCTACCGTTCGAGGACAAGAGGCTGCTCGCTCAGGTGGGTATGTAGCCGCCGAGATCCAGGAAGGGATAGAAGAATCAACGGAGGAGGGGGGGGGGGGTGACGAAAAATCGTGGGTGTGCGTCGTGGTGTAAAAGACAGACGCGTTTGCTGGTTTGCGACGGCAGGGCGAGTGCTGGTACGTCAGCTTCTCCGAGGAGTTGTCGATACATAGGGGGCATATACATACACTGGATGGCCTTGTTGATGTTTTTTTTTTGTTTGTGCGTGTGTGTGTCTCTGCGTCGTCGGGTGGCACCGACTTGTATTATGTCTTTCGTCCCGATAGACGAACGCTCTAAAACCATGATTATCGACCGTGCGTGAGACTTTCCCGCCGCCCATGGCTGCTGCTGCTGTCTGTATTGCATAGACATTGACACGTATTGAGAGCTTCCTGCTGTTGCTTGGTGTCGGAGTATTTGTTTTTCTTCCTTTTTTTTAAGCTACAGCACCCTCCCCCCTCTTCGATGTTCTCAATGGAAAACAACCAATAAACGAAAACGTCATCAGGCTCGCAGCGACACCCTGTACTGCTTCGACTTCCTCGAGCTGCTTGAGGCGGGCGTGCAGGAGCAGTGGGCCGCCTACGCGAAGGATCGACCGGAGGTACGATACGATACGATATGGCATTATCTATCTAAATGTGTGCGGCGCCAACCCCAAGAAACACAACGACCCGCACAGGCCGGACCGACTCTTTGTTATTGTCGTTGTTGTTGTTGTTGTTGTTGTTGGTGGGTGATGTTGGTTTTGGTGCGGGTGTTGATGTAGCTTGCCATTGTTGTTGTTGTTGTTGTTGTTGTTGCCATTGTCGTCCTTGTCGTCGTTGTTGTTATGTCGTGCAGTGGACCGCGGCAATCAAACACATCGTTCGAGAGAGCCTCGGGATTGGTTGGTTGCCCTCTCTTGTCTGCGTTGAGGGGGTGTTGAGTGTGCAGCAGTATGTGTATTGTTGTTTCGTCGCCTCTTGTTTTTTTCGCGCGCGTGTGCGGGAACGGCGACCCTCAACAGTCGAATGGAGGAGACACCTATGTACTCGCAACCTGAACGAGGTTCTCGTGTGGTCCGGAATGTGTTGTGTTGTGTTGTGTAGTTTTGTGTAGTGTTTTGTCTCTCTCCCTCCCACATCAAAGGCGACGACCTCTGTCATGACTTTGTGCCGTGTGGTCATGTGGTGTTGTGGTGTGCTTGTTTGTCTTATCTCCCTTCCACGCGAAAGGCGACGACCTCTTCCATCCCCTAGGTCAACACCTACCCACTCTTGACTCTCCTGGTGATATCGTTGGCGTCTGTTTTGTGGTTTTCGATCCCCGCCTCTCCCCCCGCGACACAACAGGTTACCTCCACGCCTTCGATGGTGCTGCACTCCCGGGAGCTGGTCGTGCGCCGCCGCGGGGGGGGCGGCGGAAAGGCTTCCGCGGCTGGGGACCCTTGGTCGGCTTCCGACCTCGACGACTTGGAGATGGTACGGAAAGGAAAAAAAAAAAAAAATCGGAGTGTGTGTGTTGTGTGTCGGGGTGTGTCATCGCGTTGGTTCCTCCATGGTGCGGACCAAGGAGGAAAAAGAAAAGTTTCGAAAGCGTGTGGGTGTGTCATGGCATTTGTTTTGGACGCCCCATTTCTTCACCTTTGTGGAGCATTTGTGGGCCCTGTATAGTGCCGGTATGTGTCCAGAGGTTTACCGGCACTATGTATTCACAACGGGGATGACATATAGGTTTTAGTATGGGAGTGGACACTCACTCGTGTCCTGAGGTTTGACCGGCACTATACCGGAAAAAAAAAAAAACTCTTCAACCTGCACTATACAAGGCCCACTACCGTACGTGGTGTTGTTGGACATGAAGCAGCTCGGGGTAACACGGGAGAAGTGCCACGAAGCCTTTTAACGGTCTCTCCACCTTCCTTCTGCGTGTGGTGCTCTGCTACGAGAAACGACACAGAGACAGACTGAAAAAATTATTCCGTGAAGTGTAGCAAATGAGATCTTCACCCCACTTTTTGCCCTATTCACCTCAAACGCATATATTCACGTACGTATCGTATGACGTTGTTTTCTGGTTTCGGGTGTTTTCCGCGAAAAAACGTGTCCCGAAAGGTCGAGGTCGACCGTGCCGCCGGTCTGAATGACGTGGGCATGGTCGCGTGGATGCTGACCTTGAGGACACCGGAGTACCCCGAGGGCAGGCAGGTGGTGCTCATCGCCAACGACATCACTCACCAGGTAGGTGGAAGATGAGGCCAACGACCGACCAAGGATGATGTGTGGATAAAAGAGAAAGGTGGTGTAGAACGGTGGAAGAGATGTGCAAACCAAGACGACTTGACTCTTTGCCAGGTGGGAGGGGATGCCAACGATAAGTTTGGTGTAGATAGAGGGATGGGGACACGGGACAACCTTTCAGAGGCAGAAGCGGGTGGAGTTGAGAGAGAGAACGAGCGAAAGAGAAAGGGAGGAAAATACATGCGTGGACATGAGGAAAATATGCAAACCACACGTCAACTAATCAGAGGGACATGTTAATACCTGGAAGCGTGGACCAAAAGAAGTAGCTGGTTTTGTCTTTGGCTGACGTATCGCGGGTTCATCTTTCACCTTCTTCCACCCACGACGGTATCCCATACGCTACGCGTGCGTTTGTCTTGCACTTTTTTTGTTTTTGTTCAGGCCGGATCCTTCGGCACGAGGGAGGACATTGTCTTCTTGCTCGCCAGCCGTCTGTCCAGAGCAAGAGGACTACCCAGGTAGATATCTCGGAGGAATTGTTTTATCTGTGGTCCGTTAACCCTTCTATGTGACCACTGATTCGAGCTCCTTAAACGGCACAGAATTTCTGCGTGTGCGAAGAATGCGCTGATTTTTGACGTGATGAACAAAGAAAAGTGTATCTACGGCTGTGGCGGCAGCATCGTCCTTCCTCCCCGAGCGTTTGCAGAGCGCAGCGGGGCTACTGACACCTTTAGTTATCGCCCCTAAGTCAACGTAGTTGTAGTCAGACCGGGAACGTCGACCATGCCATGCACGATCGATTGCTTGAGCCAAGTGTGTGCTATACGAAGGCCAAAACAATGCGTGCTTACAACTGGTACACCTTTCTGCCCCCCCCCACCCCCCCCCTCCGAAGACCGTGTTCATGTAGTCGCGGAATGTCCGTGGTACGAAGAGGAGAGGGAAGTGTACATGACTGAGCTGGGATAAATACAAGGGACGTACAGGGAGATGTTTGAGGCATGGAATAGAGAGGAGAGGACGGTAGCTGTACTGGGGAGTAGGAAGTGGTTCGAAAAGGCGGGAAGGGATATCGTTAGGATAGACAGATTAGGGAAGACATTTTTGAGCCACCTTTGGCAAAGTAGGAAGGAACGATTGGCCATCGGTGATCGGTCCTGTGGGAACAATGCTCCGTCCTTTCGAGGACGCGTGGTCAATGGTTTAACCGCTAAGGCATGCAAAACCTACGAGTACGCCCCCCCCCCCGCAGCCCCCAAGAGCCTGGTCCGGTGTGAACCCGGCGTGCTCCGTCCCGGCTTTGTAGGGATGCGAGGTCAATGATCTAACGACTACGGCATGCACGACTATGAGTACATCCCCCCCCCCAGCCCCCAGCCTCTCTTCTTCTGGAACCAGTTTTTCCTCTGTTTTTACTCCGTCGGGCCGCACAAGAAAACCTCTTGGTCTCGCTCTTTGATAACCATCAAGCCAACGAAAACCGGAGAGCTTCTCTACAACGCCGCCCCCAAACATGGTGTAGCGCATACATATCGTGGTCCAATTGACACAAATCTCTTCGTCCTATACATTCAACCGCGTGACGAGAACCCCGATCGCCTCTCTCAGAGCGGTAAGACCTCTGCTGCTGCTGTTGCTTTGTTCCTCCGCCGCAGGTTGTACATAGCGGCGAACTCTGGCGCCAGGATTGGCATGGCGGAGAGCCTCAAGAAGCGCTTCAAGGTCTCGTGGGCTGATCCCTCGGACCCGACGCTGGGATACAGGTCTGTCTTTCTGTGTGTGTTTTCTAGGGATAGCATTCGACCGCGCTACCCGGCTGACCAATGAAAAGGCGTCAGCTCTCAGTGCGGTTGAAAACACAAAATGCTTCTAAAGGCCATGATCTGGGACCCCGGGGGGGGAGCGTCGTGTGTGTATGTGTGTTTATGATTTTCTTGTTTAGCGTCGACCGCGCGCTAACCGGCTGACCAACGAAAATAAGCCAGTCTTTCGTAGCAGGATAGACGAAACGCTTTCTAGTCAAATACGTACTATAATAGCTCTTCCGTGTAGGAGATAGGAGATACAGCGGTACCACTATTTTCTTATATCCCGCCTGTACCTCGAATCGTCCTGTCTTTTTGATTGGCTCCGGATGATTGCCCCGCCAATTTGAGCAGGTACCTGTACCTCAGCCGCGAAGACTACGAGGACATGAAGGGCAGGGGTGCCGTGGTATGCGAAGAGGTCGTGGACGAAGACTCCGGGGAGGTTCGCTTCAAGATTCTCGTGAGTATCACCGCAAAAATCGTAACAACACACACAGCGATTAGACAGAAAAACTGCCGTGACAACAACAAGATCGATCTCTTAAGAGAGGAAAATCCTGTTGTAGGTGTAGCTAGTCAATTGGTAGGACAAAGAGACGGGCCCGAGACAAGAGGGTCCAGACGACCCCACAAAGACACCATGTGTTGAAGATGTATACACCTCTCGTTCATGAGTATCTTCCGTGTAGGACTGTGAGGATATGAAAACAAGCAGATGCTACAGCAGTAGCCCCCGTCCAACGCGTCGTCTTCGGATATAGCTACCCATGCGGCGTTTGCATTGGTAGCGAAAGCGTCTCATGCCAACGGCTTAAGCTTATTTCGTGTCAACGTCTACGTTTTTTCGTTGACGTCGTCTGCGAGTTTGTCAGTTGTTGGAGCCCTTTGTTTCTAACAGTTTTCTCGAAGTATGTTCTCGTGTTTTATTTGAGTCGTTGTGCTGCTTCGTTCCGTCGTTTTATTTAGTCTCTTCCTTCATTTTCCTCATCCTTTTCTTGTGTTTTTTTTTTTTTTTTTCGGCTAGGATGTGATCGGTGAGGAGCCGGACCTGGGCGTGGAGAACCTCCAAGGGAGCGGGCGCATCGCGGGCGAGACGTCCTCGGCCTACAGCGACGTCTTCACGCTCACGCTGGTGCTGGGCAGGACCGTTGGCATCGGGGCGTACCTCGTGCGGCTGGGCCAGAGGACCATCCAGAAGGCCTCGGCCTCTCCCATATTGCTCACAGGATACCAGGTGAAAAGAGCAGAGCATGAGAAACAGCAAGAGGCTTGTGCGTAGATGCAACAGCAACAATACTACAATATACAAGCGCTTGTTGGGCCGTGCAGGGCATCTTTGCTCTTGTAGCTGTAGCCTGCCTTGTACTTTCTTCACGCGATACGTGTGGACATGTACCGGGGAGAGGCATAGCGAT